AAAAAATCACTTTTGTAATTAAGCAAACTTTCATATATCGAATTTACAAATGTAATGTCAAGTCATTCACGATAAGGCTTTTGTAAAAGTTTCCATAAAGCGCAAATTTACAAAGTGACATTAAAAAACTCCTCCCTTTTGCAACGTACTTTTCACTTTTTCTTTATTTTTCCTCCCTCTAAATCAATATATAAAATTGTATTTAAAAAATCTTTGGTTTCATTTTCATCATTAGTCATTCCATAAATCTTGATCAGGTTTATTGAAAATCCGATTTCTCATTGATCTAAACTTTTGAAATTCTCTCTTCTGTCGTGTTGTCTACATACAGCTTCTGATGACAAACGAGAAAGTGAAATGTTAAGAGTATGCAAATTTAACTTAGGAGGAGGAGAATTTTGTAGAAATTGATGGTCTAAGATAATAGCAAAGTAATATATTTTTTCCTTATTTTAAAAAAAAATATTTCTCGATTTCTATCTTTTAAACACGTAAAAGTTTTTACCGAATTTAAATTTAATTCTATGTTTACTTTGCAATTTTTAACTTTTAAACTCTACATAATCTTCATCAAGAAGTTTTTTTAACTAGTTAAGGAAATTCTTTCTAAAATATGTTTTCTTAAAAATTAGCAATTAAGAATCATTAAAACAAAAAAAGTTGCAATTAAAATCGCAGTTGGAGATAAGTTTAATAGAATTATAAAGAAGTAAAATTCTTTTTTAATTTATTATTTTTTTCTAAATTAAGTATTTTATAGAAGAAAATCTTTTTATTTTTTTTAATTTTAAAAATATTTGTTAAATTTAAAAATAAAAATTTTTTACTGTTCATATTACCTTATCATGTTAATTATTTTGTATATAATTTCAAGGTATTCAGATAACTTTGAAACCTTCTAAATATTTCGAATTGCACGAAAATCTCCGAATTCTTTAAATATTTCGAAAAACATCTTTGCGTTTGAAACTTCAAAGTACTTCGAAAATCCTTCACTCTGAATCATTTAAACAGTTCAAATACTTCTAAAATTGAATATTTTAAAAAATACTTAAAGCGAATCCTTTAAATTTCTATGAATTTACGTAGTAAATAGTAAATTCATAGAAATTTAAAAGATTTAATTTGTAGTAAAGGGAACAAAACTCGACAAATAATGCATTTAATTTGAATATAAAAGTCGTATTGTAATAATGTTATTATTATTACAATATCTTTCTTAAGCCATTCAATATTTTATAGGTAATTTTATTTTAAAAAACACAAAGAAATTTTAATTAACACGGGATCAACAGGTAACTCTTAACTGAGAAAATAGTCTTATCCCAGCGACGATACATCTAAGCAGATGATACAACGTCATAAAGTTAATGATATTACATTGTTCCAGCAATCCATACTTGTTTCACGTTGCAATTTTCTTAGTACTTTGAAATTTATGACATCTTTTGGCAAGATACGTAAAAATATTTTTAAGTACAGTATTTTCCTCTTAACAAATACCCTCCGAAAATTATACATTTGTACGAGTGGCTGTAAAATATTTTATTTTATTTTTCTCAACTAAATGCATTGTTTCTCGGATTTTAAAATCTATTTTTCTCATAAAAAGAATGTTAAATGAAAATTGCGTTACATAAAATTTTCTTTCTTAACTGGAATTAGTAGCTGCATTCGTTAATTAATCCTCATAAATCTCTAACAATAAACTTCATACCTCTATAGATTTAATTAAATGTAATTATTTCGCTACATTAGTAACATTATCGTTGAATTATTTATTTTCTAATAAAATATATTCTGATATTAAAAATAAACAGCTTTAAAATCGAATTAANGTGCCTAAATTTCAATTTTTTTTCAAACTTTTTCAGTGAAGTTAAATGGAAAATATGCAATTGATCTAAATCTTAATTAATTTTTTAAATATATATATTTTTTAGTATTCTTCTATAGAATTATACAGTATGCGGCAGCTGGTGATATTCAATGAATGAAATTTTGAATTTCATTTTCGTGGTGGAAATCCGAATGGCATGCAGTCACGATTGTTGATATTTGCTTTTCTATCAGTTTTGTTTGCATCACAGGCAGAAAACATGATAAAGAATATATTTTGCATTTAGGATTTTATGGTGACAACTCAAAATTTCATTAAGTTTTTTTTCCTCTTTTTGGTTAGCATTTTAATTAGAATCATAATTTTAAAAAGAAAATAAGCAAATGACTTTGTCGACAAAAACAAATTAATGTCTTCTTTAATTTTTCTTTGCGAACTGCGTTAACAAGGAAGAAAAAGGGATTTATTCATTATTATCGAATAATTAATTGCATTTTATTGCTTATTTTTTGTTGAATTTTGTAATTTTTATTTCCTTGTTTAATCATTTATCATTAATCTGCGTAATTGATTTTTTCAAAATTGTTTTTAGTAAACTCAACTCGTGTTTATAACTAAGTATAAATCAATTTTATAAACACATTTTAGTTCAGTAAGTATTCGTATGTTAAACAACAAATATATATATATTTTTTCATTTTTTATATAAGTTAAATATATTTAATTTAATGTTATAATGTATATGTGTTCCTTTCTTGTTTTTTTTTAGCAAAAGTATTTATACGATGTACAAAAGATTATTATAAAGCAAAGTAAACAGTTTATTGAATGTAAGATGTTTGTACAACTGGAAAAAAAAATGTACATATATAGTGAAAAAATTCCTTCTTTCTTCCGTATAGAAAATACTTTTATCTTTTCGACAAAAATTCTTATTTCGAATGACATATTTTAAATATTCTTTTCCCCCCAACATGGAAATTCTTTTTTTCAATTCCTTATACCAAAACAAGAAATTTACATCTTTATAATAAAAACACGTGTATATAAGTAAGTTTTTACTTTAAAATTTAATAAGCCAGTTAACTCATCGCCATCTCCACCCCTTTACCTCCCCTCTTCCACCTCCATTTCCTCCTCCTCCTCCTCCTCCATTATTATCACCATCCCTACTATGACGATCAGCATCAGAGCCATCACTATAATCATCATCTATTCAGAATTTCCAAGCCGTAGTTCGCGATCCCTACGTTGATATATATATATATATACAGTACATATGCCAAATATAACTTTTAATACGGAATGATTTATTTTATTACATTAAAAACGTAGGAATGAGCGTTTCAAATATCCTTTTCAATTAAATAAACATTTTTATTATTATTAAAATATTTTAAAATGCATAAATAAGCAAGCTTATGTGGAATAAATATATAAACGCATGAAGATGGCTGGAAGATTAAAGTATAATATTTATTTAGTGGAAATACTAGACAGATTTAATGTTATTTTATACATTAATATTTTAATGTTTAAATATGAAAATTTAGTAATATTAAAATTTTAACTCGATATATTTAGTATTATCTTCTTAAAAAATAGTATTCCTTATATAATCTGTTTAATAATTAAAAAGGTACAGTGGATAGAGTATCTGAAATTCATTATAAATTCTTTGAATATTAAAATAATTTTAATTTAATGACTTAAAATTGATCCGGACTGAAAGAGAACACTCGATAATGCTTTTCTTATTAAAAAAACAACGTTTAAACGCTATAAAAAATATGAAAAAATGCTGGAAATATTTATGATGATCTCGTAATTTTCTCGTAAAAGTTATAAATGACATCCTTAAAGAATAATTAATATTTAAATTATTCAATTAAATAAATAAAAAAAAACATGTTTGTCAAACAAACATTAATTTAATCCACTTATAATTAAAAGTCGTAATCTTTAAACATACAAAAAAAATAAATAAATAATGCATTAATTTCGAAGATTAAATATATATATATAAAAAACAAGAAGCTTTAAGTATGTAAATAACATGTCTTTCAGATGAAAGATTTTAATTTTTCTAATGCTTTCAATGGATTTACATCTTAGTTTTCTAGAATTATTATTGTATTTAATAAGGAAATAAGTAAACTGGGATGTACCTTTTGACATTCAAGATCGATGGATTGAAGTAAAGATGGTTACTGTTCGACATTACTCGTGTGTCAATAATTAGATCCTTGATGAGATACAGACACGATGATTGATTGAACTATGATATTCTACGCTTGACTGGTTTCTTCTTTCTTCTTAATTTCCATACTTTTTCCTGATTTTTTTTACTTTGTTTTCTACGAAAATTTATTAGCAAACTTTATAAAACTTTTTCTTTTTAAATGTAAAAAATTTAAAAATTTTTTTATAAAAATATATTTTTAGTAAGAACATATGTTGTGTACTCTGTAATCTTTTAAAGAATATTGATTTTTATAAATAATATATTTTTATATCTATTGTAGGATATGTTTAAAAGAAAGACAATTATTTGTTTAACAGAATCGAATTCTTTTAGATATTGATCAAGAAAATTTTATTGAAATAATCTGTTACAGAATACTTTCTTCTAGTTCGAAAGTAAATACTAAGAAAAAAAATCATTTCACGTGCCTAAATTTCAATTTTTTTTCAAACTTTTTCAGTGAAGTTAAATGGAAAATATGCAATTGATCTAAATCTTAATTAATTTTTTAAATATATATATTTTTTAGTATTCTTCTATAGAATTATACAGTATGCGGCAGCTGGTGATATTCAATGAATGAAATTTTGAATTTCATTTTCGTGGTGGAAATCCGAATGGCATGCAGTCACGATTGTTGATATTTGCTTTTCTATCAGTTTTGTTTGCATCACAGGCAGAAAACATGATAAAGAATATAATATTTTGTATCAAAAAATCCTTTTTTTTATATGTACGTATATATACATTCGAGTCAGCATCTGGTGACATTTAATAATCAGATTCGAAAAGAATTCAAACTTGAACATTCGGAACACGAATGTTTCCTTCACGTTGCATATTTATTTGGGCTATAAATAATGTAAATTAAGATATTTTAGGATGTAATTTTGATTGGTGAATGTGAAATTCCAGGTAGCGTAGGAGGTGAAAACGAAATGACGGAAGAAGAAAAGCAAGCAGCTGAAGAAGCTGAGAAAGAAAGATTGGATGCCTTGAGGGAAATCGAAGAACGACGAAAGGAAAAGCATCGTAAATTAGAAGAAGAGCGTGAGCAAATGAGGCAACAAATTCGTGATAAGGTACTAAATACATATATTCCTCTTCGTGTGTTTTGTTTCTGGCTTCTTACTCACTCTGTGGATGATACCGAGTCATTCATAGAGATGCCACTAAGAAAAATGATGTCATCATAATAATTTAAAATTATTATGACAAAAAAAATTGAATTCTTCAAAAACTAAATTTAATTTTAAGAAATTATTTAAATTTCAAAAATATTCAAAATTGTTTTGAAAAGTTTGAATGTTTCAAATTTCAAAACTATTGTTTGTGTTATGTGTGTTTAGTGAAAATTTGCTAGAAAAATTTAAAATAGTTACCTTTATTTATTAAAATATTTTATGAATTTTATATTTTTGACAAAATAAAGTTTCAAATTCGTGTTTACTTTTGAAAACTTTTCAAAATTTTCACTATAGATCACCATAAGTCCATTATTCATATCTGTAAACATTATTCCTCCATTTGAATTTATGCTAAAGAAATATAACTTTTAAAAGGAATACAATTTTTAGAGGAATATTTTTATTGTAAATAAAATATTTTAATCATATTTAAACTTTAATTAGTATAATATAAAGAAGAAAGAGGAAATAGAAGCTGAGAATNATTTTTTTTCTTTTAAAAAAAATATTATCCATCTATCTTCATTATTGAATATATATATATATATATATATATATATATGAAAATTATCTTTCTCTGTGGATTTATGAGTTTATTTTATAAAAGTATCCATAGGTTTTAAAGGCAGACTTATAAATTATAATATATTGTCAATCTAGAGAATTTTCTCATCGATTTTTCAAAAAATTCAATATAACTATAAAATTTTGTAGTTGTAAAGTGAATTTAATATAAATTTTTAAAAAGTAGACTCAAAATGGATACGAAATTTTCCAAAGAGTGGATCGTACTCTCCTGGTTGGAAAACATTGAATCTGGATAAATCCTTTGTTTTAAAGTAATAAATTCTAAATTCTTTACAGAAATTTCATCAAATGGAAAAATATCTAGAAAAGTACTTACCTTAATTTTTTCCATTCGAATCTTATTTTTCTTTCCTTGAACTAAAAGACAAAGCTTTACAAGAAAATGTTTGCGCTATAAACTATAAATTAATGATGTCAATTTTTGATTTTTACGATTATTTTATATATTAAAATTGCACAGAAACATTTTATTCTAAGGAATAAATCATACAAAACAATACAAAAAATATTAAAGAAATTTTTATAATACTTAACTTAGAGCCATAAAAATCTTAATTTTATGTCCTTTCTCTTTTTTTTTTTATTTCACATTATTAAGTTACAACAAAAATAAAATGTTAATAAAAGTTTTTAGACTATTCGTTTTAAATTATTAACTCGGTAAGAATTTATTAAGAACTTAATGTTGTTAAGATTTTAATTCAAAGTTCAAGAATATTTTATAATTTCAGCTTTTTTTTAATGCTGTTCATTAATATTTTAAAAATTATCCAATTTCTTTATCAAAAAATTATCCGGAAACGATTTAATACTGAGAAAGAATAGATATTTTTGAAAGTATTGAAAATTTTATTAATTTAAAGTGGTGAAAATTTTGTAAATTTAAGGAAAAACAAAGGTTGAATGCAAAATGTAACTTATTTTGGATCATTAACAACACTTGTGTAAAGTTTATCTCGTGTTTTTCTCTCTCAAATCAATATTCAAATCTACAAAATCTTCATTAAGAGTGTTAAAAAAATCTGAATCAGTTTCTCAACCAGTAGATTCCGATTTATTAGTTTGGAACTTCCTTATACTATATACCTCTCGGTTAAAGATTTCCAATACACTAAAATAATTCAAGTAAAATAAAAAATAAAAAAAAGTGAAAATCCTGTTGGGTTAAATAATTCAAGAATTCAATCCTCATCTAGATTTATTTAGATGGCATATTTTAATCAAAATTTTCTCTTATAATAACCTACAAATTGTTGTTTAACTTTTATGATTTTTTTGGTGTGGACACCAAAAAAAATCATGAAAAATTAATGTTAATATAAATTTACGTAGAGTTTATATTTATATTATTACCGTATGGTTTAATGACAATTGGTTGTAAGCTAAATAATTCATTCCGAAAATTACGATGTATCGATTGTCTACAGTAAATAGCAGTTTAAACATACATTTTAGTTGAAAATTTGATATCAAATATCAAATAATAACTAGTTGAAACTAAAGACAGACAACTACTTAGTTATTAGGGAGATTATAATAATTAGTTTGGCATTCTTCGCGTGTTTAGAATGAAAAATTGAAAACCTTATTACATAGAAGAAAGTTCGTACAACTTTTTATCGTCCAATGTTTTTATTCTGATAAAAAAAAAAATTATACGAATCACACCAAAGAAGCTTTAAAAAATAACGTCTATCTTCCATTTAATCCCCGTGGGGATTTTTCTATTTTCAGTTCTCGGAGGATAAAGAAAAGGATCGTAGACGTGTGCAGTGTGCGTAAACAGATCCTCTAACTTATTTTTTTATTGATAAGATAGATATTGCATAGGTAAGGGATATGTCGGATGATACTGCTTTAAGAATCAATAACAACCGAATAGTGCAAACTTCTTTACAGAACGTATCCGCCGGGGAACTATTTGCCATTCTATCGTGGATTCTCCCCCAACTCACATAAACATGAACTATTTTTTACTTGTTATGGATCTCGAAATGACATAAAAAGATCATTAGATTATTGTTTTTCTACCCATCAGCGAAAAATGCGATCATAGATTTTGCAGGAATTCCTTTTCTTTATTTCTTTCCCTTTCTTTAACAAAATCTATAAACGAATAAACTCGATAAAAAGTAAAAGGGGAGTTCAAAATGCCATTCTTCCTCTATAGAATTTTGATCATAAAAAGATTATTTCTGATCTGGTCGAGGTTTATCTTAAAAAGAAGAAAATCGAAAAATATTTTTCAATTTCTTATATTTTATATTAGGCTACATTAATGAGACCTTCCACTACATGATTAATGTAATTCCCATGTGAAGTCATTATTCGTCAACCAAGGTTAAAAGTAACCTTTTGTGGTTTAAATATGGGAAATTCGTGTCTCTATATTAAATATTTATAGTTGAATTTAAATTGTGTTACTCCCACGAATGTAAGTACTAATTTAAAATTCTTATAGATACAAAATATACCCACGGCTTCGTTGATACAATGTAACATATTATCAATAAATTTCGAACTACGCTCGACATGTTGATGGTTCATTTTAATTTTGTTTCTACTTCAAATATGTTAATCTTTACATTACATGGCGTCTAAAATAATTTAGAATCTAACTATAAATAAAATATTTCATGTTTGGCTACGCGAAAAATAATTGTAATACGCTCACCAGTGGATAAAATCACTCATTACTGGTGGCGATGCGCGAACATGCCACCAACAGGCCGCCATGTGGAGTTTTCCGGGTTTTTTTCGCGTGTTTGACACCTAAATAGGAGCAAATTTGCCATAAAGTGGGCGATCTGCCAAGGGGTACTTCCGTTGGCAGATCGCCCAAGATTATTGCTTTGACTTATTCCATCAGTCCTATCCTAATTCTACTATGCAACATACATCTATGAAACTCTATATTCCAGCATTCATATATATGAATCTTAGTGAATTTCACTATTTTTTATTTGTGACTTCCGTTTTGTCGTGACATTACAGTATTCATGAATAAAATTCGAAACTTTTTTGAATGTCACGAAGCACCGGTTAGGAAATTCAACCCGTACCACAATTTCGCGATTTATATACTGTTTATATTTCTGTTACACACGGATTTACTGTCAAGGATTTTTTTGACGAATCAATACTTTTTCTGATTAGGCCTAAATGAAATTGTTTTTTTAACTCGATGGTTTTCTTTACAGAGTTGAAGAACTCGCTGGAAACGCAAGTAAACGAGCTCAAGTCGACAATTGAAGGAAAGTGTGCTCTTCAATGAAATATCTGGCCATGTTCTATGCAACACTAATTTTATTTCTTCTAGAATATATCCGTGCAATTAGCCGTATTTCGAAATCGTATTTTTAGTCCAAACAAACAAAAAACACACTTTCTAAGTGGAAAAAAATCTTCATTTCACACGTAAATAAATGATATATGATTATTTACTTTAATTAAAAAATGGAAGCCCAAACGGAAAGGAATCAAATAATCCACATAACCACAAGACCAAATTGCCCCGCACCTATTGCTTGCGGATCACTTAACAGGTTTCCAAGACAACGATCCCACGCGCTCAGATGATGTGTCTCCATGATGATGTGTGTCTTGACACTTCAGCGATTGTCCTGTTATGTTTTGTATCCTCCTCCTTCCCCGGCTTGATTGCGATCATTCAGCTGAATGGCCCGGCGGTTCAATCACAAAACAACGAATATTCATTGTTCGCCGCGCTCTTAACTTCAAGGCACCTAGAATGTATATAATTACATATTAATGTGTGTGTACATGTGCATGTGTGATGTAAACTAGCTATTCTTTCCATATACCATCGTTGTGTCTATCCTATATTTTAAAAAAATCATCCTGAAACGTGCCAATTAATGGTATATAGGCATATCTTTCGTCGGCGAAGAAAGACTGTAGAACCCTTGTGTATTTATGATTGTCCGTGTTTATAACTATCATAGTCACCTATACATAGTCCAGTTTTCATAGATGGTGTCAAAACAGCATTTATCAATCGTTTCTTAATTTGAAAATGAAGGAATATCTAGTGAATTGATGTCAAATTCATTCAAAACACTTGATCTCCAGAAGATCTCTATATAAATGCAATGGGTTGGACAAGTGAAAACTGATGTTTAGCCCCAAAATTGCAGAAATATTTTAGACTTTTTAAGTCTATAATTTCTATAATAAAGAATATATGAATCTTGAAGTAAGAAAGAGAATTCTAGGTAAAAAGCTATGAAAACAAATAGGTCTTTTTAGGACATTTTTTAGAGATTCAAATGATGCATGAGAGACTGATTGAAAAATGCTGTTAGAAGTATTGGGGCAGTTAATATGTATATGTTCTATATGTTCTTTTTATAGTTAGATTCAGCTGCACTAATAGAGTACATATATAGAAGAATTATTTGAAGGCGAGGTCTTGATTAAAAAGTGGTGAAGTGATAAAATCGAGAATTGAGATTCTCAAATGAGGGCAATACATAATAAGACATTATATAAAAGGTGCCTTTATTCCCAGCATAAAGGTGAATTCTTGTTCTACATGCTGTATATAAATGTTAGTGATGTTTGTTTATATTGTTTAAAGCAATATATAAAAATTGTGGAAAATTTTGAAAATTTTTAATTGGTATAAGAATTGTTAGGGAAGATTCCAAAGACAAGAAACAGCAAAAATTTTTTCATTTTTCTTTTCCTTTTTTCAAATACATAAACTTGATATCCTCTATCAGTTATTTCAATGTTTCTGCTATGGCTTATCCTTTTTCTAGTAGGGTTGCCATCCTTACAACAATGATGAATCCTTAAAATAAAATTGATTGGGGTCTCTAAATAACAGGCCAGTTGGTGCATTAATGCCATTATACTAAATGCCTCTATTGAGAGAGCAGAGCGTATTAATAAGTGTATTTTATTATACACAAATTGCTCATTGAGAAGTTTTGCAATTTGAGATATTTTTAGTTAATATTTTTTGTATGGGAAATAAAAAAAAATTTCGTACTCCCGACTTTATAATCTAATCTCCTTGAAACCGAAACAGCTTCGGAATAAAATAATAATAATAGATTATTCAGGAGCTAGTTAGCAACTTTTAGTAATTTATATTTAGAAAATTATTATAAAAAAATACTATTTCTTGTACAAGATCAGATTTCCATTCTGAGAGATTTCCTGACAAGTTTTGAACTTGGCATAATTAAGAAAATTGATACAAGATGATTAAAAATATAATTATTTGTGATTCAACTGGAAAGAATTTGAACATAGAAAAACCTATAAAGATAGGATTTAACTTATGCGTGAAAATGAAGGACTGAATTAAACATCCCAAAACACGAAAGATTTTGAAAAAAATTGATTTCTAAAAGTAATATTGAAAACATAAAATTTCTAATAAGTCTCACAATAAGTGGCAACCCTATTTAAAATGTTTGGTACTATTCCTTTAGAAATCTTTGTTATTCAGAAAATTGATAAATTCACAAAATAATTTATTTGAAATTATAAATACTTAAATTCTTAAATTTGTGAATTAATTTTGAAGTTTCACAAGAAATATTACATTTGAATTAACCGTGCCTAGTTTTTAAATATTGAGTATAACAATTTTGTTTCGATGCATATTTAACTTAAATTTCAAAAACAAATTTATAAAATAAAATTTGATTATGTTTACAACATTGTAGAATTAATAAAAGATAAAGTTAATTTTGAATCCCATCCATCCAGTCTTCTGTTTATGGAGGCCTAATATAAACAAAATAATAATAAAAGATAGACCCCTATGTGATTAACTAAATCCAAAGGGCCTGGGTGCAGAGAACCTCCAGGAAGACAGACCTCCCATTTGTTCCCAAAACTGCAATTTCATAAAAATGTAAAAAAAATACAATGATAAATATAGTAAATATCTATAAAAAATTTTGAAATTCCTTCAATGTTACAAGTTCTCTCCATCTGTGTTGTTGATGATGTGTCCGTATTCCGCTCTCTCTCTCTCTATCTCTATCTCTATCCAATAGTCCGTAGCCCAATGTAGATCTCTTGAATGCTACTGGACCATAATCACTGTAGTCTTTCACTAAGTCTTTATTAGAATAATAAAATTTAGAAATAATTATATAAAAATGCTTAGAATAATTTTATGTAGGAAATCTTGAAAGTTATAATCTACAATATGTGGATTTCATTATTATAGTTTGGAACTGTTAGAAATGGTTGAATTTATTATTATAGAAAATTTGTAAATAATTATAAAAAATTGTGTATATTTTTATTTTATTTTAAGAAATGACAATATTCTTGTGCTTTAATCCTGATTATTATATATTTGCAGATGCCGAACATTTAGATATTCTAGTGTCTTTAGTTTCTCATAAACTAGATATCCAATATCCATGGTATGTTGAAGATCCAGATATCCATTGTCCATGGTAAGGTAGATATCCAGATATCCATTATCCATGATAAGCTAGATATCCAAACAATCTTTCCTCATTGATATCCAGATGTCCAGTTTCCTCTGTCTGCTGGAAATCCATATCCAGTATCTATGGTTTGTTGGATATCTTTATCCAGCATCCTCTGGATACTGGAGACTTAGATATCTAATATCCATAATTATGATCTAAATATTCGGCATCTGTATATGTTAGATATCCATAGATCCAACAAAACTTTACATGTACCATATCCTTATATGCCAGATATTCTAATGTATAAAGAATATATGATGTGATGTATATATTTCAAAGATTCCGGATATAAATTTTTGCTATCGGATGCAAAAGAATTATTTGAAATCACAATTTTTCATATGATTCTTTAGATTTGATAGCCTTCTGGCATAAAGTTCGAAAATTTTTATTCACTTACAGGTGTATATCCTCAGGTATATGCCTTATATTATTATTGTTTGTGTAAAGTTTCCTATTTTATCATTTACTATTAAATGTATTTTGAGTAAGATGCCAATACAGCCACTATTTTTCTCTTTAATTATTCAACGAAATAACATACTTCTATCCAAATGATAGAATTCATATTAGAATGTGCTGTAAAAGAGCAATAAACATAATGGCGATAGTTCAGTAGCTGAAATGATCAGGGATGTTCCCTTCAGTCACTTTTAAGTTAGTAGTTTAGTAGCATGGATTTTCAATACTAGTGCCTTTAAAAGAAAAAAATCCTGTGGTTGTATGATATCATTTATCAGAAAATAACTAAGCATATTTATTCTATATTAAATCCCTGACCATTCAACGGCAGCTAGTTATAGATTAAAAAAAAAAATAATACACATTAAATCTATCATTTGTAATTAGTGTGATTCTTTGATGTGTAGTAATTTGAATTTAGGAGTAATGTTAATTTATTTGTGAAAGACATATGAATGATGATAACAAAACTGGACATTCCCTGCTACACAATACCCACTTATACACACACATACACTATGGGCATTACATATTTCCAATACTTTTGTTTGCTTTAAATTCCAACGTTTTATAAACTCTACATATGATATGATAAATTAATGAAAATAAAAACATTTTAATTATAAAATTATTAAGTTAATCTCAAAAGCATTTTATGAATAATGATCATATGATCATGGTTATAAATCTGTGGCAATGCTTAAAAAGCATTAAAAAATGCCAAAGGTTATTAAATATAAAATATATATATATAAATAATGTCAAATGTACCAAAATGAACTTTGTAAATTATCAAGTTTTGTAAATTATATTAAAAGAAAGAGAAGCGTAATCTGATCTCTACCATGACTTAGAACTGGTACTCTACAAATTTGTGATAACGAGAATGGACATTCACATGGCTACTCCTTCAAAATTTCCGACCTATTCCTAAGCTTTAAAAAAAAAAGAAGAGAAGAAAGTGCGGGTAATACGATCGATGTTTTTTGATTATTCAAACTTATCGATGTGTCAGTGAATAGATTTAAAAAAAACTTTCTATATTAATTTAGGCAGGTGTAGATTTAGCACTATATGAGCTTAGAAATATTGGTTTTGTGTTAATGGATTAAAATTATTGCCAAAAGAAGTGCTCCAAATTCGTGTAATCTTGGTGTAAACAGATGTTATTAAAAAGTTGATTCAGATTTTATCGAATTTTTCTGTGTCTGCCATTCAATAAAGTTCATTTGTTGATTTAATAGATGTTTTCTTTATTTTTACATAGACCTAAGTGTTTGAATTGAACAAAATAACTTTTTATAAAACATATTACAATTAATAAATTGACATTATGAAAGCTATATATTTTTTGACTTAATTTTTCTATATATAATAAAATGAAAATAGAAATAATCTGCTAATCATATTGCAAATCTAAGATTATATCTATCTTAAGTTTTTTCATCAAAGTTTATATAAATTATAAAGAAGATATGGAAGAGCTGAAATGACTCAATGTAGAATAGCTTGGTATTGTAGTAAAAGCCTGATTTTTCCTTAGCACTTGCAATACCCAAATCTGAGGCACACTCAAATCCCTTTCAGATGAGTATCTAAAATGATTCTCATCATTTAGATACTCATCTGAAATAAAAACAACTAATGCATAGTTGTTTTTATTTCAGATGAGTATAAAAACAACTAATGCATAGTGCTGATTACATATCATTTTCTAATGTGGATAATTACAATTTAATATATAGATTACGTCAAAGGTTAAAATGATGATATCATATATACAGTGGAACCCCTGTTAACGAACATAATCAATTCCACGAGTCTGTTCGTTAACTGAATTGTTCATTAACCAAAGCAATTTTTCCCATAGAAATTAATGCAAATACAATTAATCCGTTCTAGCTGTCAATATTTTTGTAATTTTATTTGTAAAATGGGTTTTGTTTGATGAAAATATAAGAAAACGTAGTATCTATCATTACAGCAACAAATATGTAAACTTTATTTAATAAAGTAGCACTGTACATACCTTTGTTTCTACAGAGTTTAATGCTTGGAAAAGGAATCCCCCTCCATAAAAATATTGGGTAGCACTGCATAGGAAGTTTCTTCGAGTCGAGGTCTCTTTTGATAAGGAACAAGAAAGTGGTCTAAGGTTGATTGTCTTACTCTCTTAATCAAAATTTTTCTAAAATGCGCTAGCACAGTGTCGTTCATTAAATTAATGATCCTATTAGCCACAACTTTGTTACGATGGTGTTTCTCGATAAATTCCTGCACATCATTCCATTTTCTGCAAATTTCCTTGATCTCAGCACTGGTGATTTCTTCCCTAGCCTCTTCTTCTGACGAATGCTCTTCTTGTAAGACTTTCATCTGTTCTTCCTGCATGGCAACCAGCTCTTCTGTCGTTAGTTCATTTTGATGGTCTTTCAGCAACTCCTCCACGTCTGCATCATCTACATCTACTTTCAAACTCTTGCCAATGGACACGATTTCATGCACTACACCAGGAGAGCTCTCTTCAAATTCCAGAAAGTTTCGCTCTGGGACACAAGTTGGCCAAAGTTTCCTCCAGGCTTTGTCAATAAGGTTGATACAATGCAGGATGTTAAAATGCTCCTTCCAAAAAGCTCTAAGAGTTAAGTCAGTATCATTGGTAACCTGAAAACACATGGTAAACAGTGCCTTGGAATACAGCTTTTTAAAATTGGAAATCACTTGCTGATCCATTGGTTTCAGTAATGGAGTTGTGTTGGGTGAAAGGAATTTGACCTTGATGAAGTCATGTTCACTATCCAGTCGTCTGCCAAATTTGGTAGATGTGCTGGAACATTATCCATTAAGAGAAGACATGTAAGAGGAAGATCCATTTCCTAAAGATAACTTTTAACAGTAGGAGCAAACACTTCTGTGAGCCAATCCATGAATAAAGTCCAAGTTACCCATGCCTTACTATTTGCCTTCCATTCTATAGGCAATTTGGACTTCATCACATTTTTGCTCTTAAAGGCACGGGGATTTTCAGCATTGTAGACTAAAAGTGGCTTGATTTTGAGGTCACCACTTGCATTAGCACAAAATAAAAGAGCGAGTCTGTCCTTCATGAGCTTGTGCCTGGGAAGTGCTTTCTCTTCTTGGATTATGTACGTTCGTCTAGGCATTCTTTTCCAAAAAAGACCGGTCTCATCGCAATTAAACACTTGATTCCAGATGTATCCTTCACTTTTTACAAACTCTGCGAATTCATCTACAAATGCTTTTTCTGCTTTTTCATCTGAACTTGAAGCCTCCCCATGTCTTATGACACTGTGAATGCCAGTTCGTCGACAAAACCTATCAAACCACCCTCAGCTCGCTTTAAAATCCTGCCTGCCTGCACTTGTACTGGGTGTCAGGGTTAACAAGTCATTGTATAAATTTTTAGCCTTTTCACAAATTATAGCTTCACTAGCACTATCTCCAGCAAGTTGCTTTTCATTGATCCATGTTAGCAACAGTTTTTTAACTTCATCTAAAACTTTAGATGTTTGTTTTGATATCACATTCACTCCTTTAGCCACTTTGGCAGCCTTAAACGCTTTTTTGTTTTTAATAATTGTAGAGATAGTTGATTTTGCCACATTATATTCTTTAGCGATGTCAGAAACAGGAATGCCATTCTCATATTTTGCAATAATTTCTTTCTTTAATGCTACACTAAAACGTTTTCTATTTCCACTGTCACTTTTCTCTTTCTTTGGTGCCATATTGATTAAATATACAGTATAAATAACAAAACTAAAAAACGAAGTTTAGCACACTCAAAAAAGCAATGCTTACCTCACACAGGCCTAAGAGCAACTGAAATTTGTGAATTGGGTTTCCAGCCGTTCTTGAACGGCTGGAAACTATTGGGTTGATGCAAAAGTTCATTCCGTTTTTAGCACCAGCTGGCTAAAAACGTAACACTGAAGTGTTATTTCCTTCACATGTGTAAAATTTCAATGTTGTTTGACAAAAGGGATCTCAGCTAGTATTTGAGAATAAAGTTGTGTTACTTAGTTATATTTTTAAAATTTTGTTAAGCATTACAAATGGCAGAAAATAAGGAGCATTTTCGACATATTATGCTTTCTTATTTCCGAAAAGGCAAGAATGCTTCGCATACACAAAAAAAGATATATTCTGTGTATGGTGAGGGAGTCATTGATGATTCCACATGCCATAAGTGGTTCAGAAAGTTTGTGAAAGCAAGCTTACAAATTTGACCAAAAAGTCGTTAAGTTCGTTATCTGAATTTTGTTCATTATCCGAGACAAAATTTTTGCAAAATAAAAGTTCATTAACTGGGGTTCCACCGTATACTGGTGGAGGCTTAACAATTTATACTTATTCAATAAATATAAAATAGCAAATCAAGTATTAAATATGTATTGAAAAATAATATAAATTTATTTTTTACAACATAAAACATTTTGGTCTATAAAATAAATAAAATTAGTAACTTTTTATATTAAATTATATTATAGTATATTTTATATTATAGTAAATTAGTAACTTTTATAGTATTTTTATTTATGTAATAAATAAAAATACTATAAAAGTTTAAATATATAATCTGTATTCCTGGAGATGTTACATTTTTTTTCAGTTTAAACTTTATTTTTGAAG